TTTAGGAACTCTGCTCTCTTCAGAAAGCTGTGATGGAACTTTCTTCTTGGATCAGAAAATTACCAGTAGAGATTTAAAAATGTCAATAGTTATCTTGGGCCAGCTGGGCCTCCCTTGCTCCCATGGCTCATGAGACTCTATACAGGTAACCTTCACAGCAGTAACGAGCAGTTCAATCATAGGCTGAACAAGTGCAGAATGGTGGCAGAATGTACCTTTGGCCGTTTAAAGGGATGCTGGTGCAGTTTGACTAGGTTAGACCTCAGCAAAAGCAATATTTCCATTGTTATTGCAGCTTGATGGGTGCAGCATAATAACTGTGAAAATAAGAGGGTTTCTGGCAGGCAATTATGGGCAATAAGGAAAGCACATCAAGGGGCACTGCGCCTAGCAGCTAATTACGGGCAATAAGGAAAGCACATCAAGGGGCACTACGCCTAGCAGCTAATTACGGGCAATAAGGAAAGCACATCAAGGGGCACTACGCCTAGCAGCTAATTACGGGCAATAAGGAAAGCACATCAAGGGGCACTACGCCTAGCAGCTAATTACGGGCAATAAGGAAAGCACATCAAGGGGCACTACGCCTAGCAGCTAATTACGGGCAATAAGGAAAGCACATCAAGGGGCACTGCGCCTAGCAGCTAATTATGGGCAATAAGGAAAGCACATCAAAGGGCACTGCGCATCAGAGAGGCTCTGAAAACCAGTTTTGGGAATGATCAGACAATGATGTGTTACATATACTGCTCTTTTCAAGATGTCCCGTTATACGTGTAGCCCCTGCCCAAACGTAAATGGCACAATGAATAAACATCCTGTTATTCTGAAATCACACACTTATTTAGGGAACACAGATATAGCTGAATAGAAGAGGGGTGTGAGTGTAAGATCTGATAATGGAGGACAAGGCTTATTATAATATACCTATGTAACAATCAAAACTTTGGGAATGACAGCCTTCTGCTCCAGGAACCATCCCTGAAAGTTGAGTGAAAGGCTTCCTGGCTTTTCCCCTTCCCACCTCACACCCAGTGTTCTAAGATGTCTAGGAGAAGCAGCTGTGGAACTTGGTGGGAAAGGAAGGTAGTTTACCACATGATACAGGAATACTCAGTGTTCCAGCTGCTTTTCCTACACTTCTACTCATCAGCTCTGTTTGCTCCCCCATGAGCTTCAATGTCTCATCCTGTACCTTATGATCATGTTCCTTGCATGCTTTCCTGTCCTCCTGTTCAATGTGGATGACCTCTAACAGTGTTAGTCTCCATGCATTCAGTTGAGCCCTATCAGTGCAAGTGGATTGCAGTATCTTGTTAAAGATTTCATCTGGTGTACTTTTTTTTTTTTTTTAAACTTTGGTTGCGAAAGATTGAGGGCAGCAGGTAGATCGATTGTTCCATCTGGTTTAGGAAAAGAGTAGACTTTAAAGAAGAAGGTTAACTCTTTTACAATGAATGAAGCACTATGCTGCACAAAAAACTTATTAAACTGCATAAAAACATTTAAAACTGAGCCCCTACTGGTAAGATACAACACACAGCAGAGCACTGGGCAACGGAACTCTGATGGCAGGCATGGTAAGCAGCACATTTGGAGTGCTCTTTCGCACCCGCTTTGAAAATATATGGGAAAGTGTGCTTACAAACTACAGCCCTCATTGTTTAGGTGTTTACATGGGGGGAAGATGGGAGGGGAGAGTGGGTCTTCTGCACAGCTTGGTTGCAGGCTGCAATCCTCCTTTGCCAAATAGAGTGGGCAAGTTTATAGAGGCTCATAGCAAGCACATAGTTGCACCTCCTTCAGTACAGCATGGCTGTTCTCCAAGATTATCCCTTCAAACCCATCACGAACAGGGCAGCTGCCCTAGGGATCATGATTTGTGGGGGATAAGCAAAGAAGTGGATTGCCTCCCTGCTATCAGTTACAGAACTTCTCTCATTTCATCATAAGAACGGCCATACTGGGTCAGACCAGCAGTCCATGCAGTCTAATATCCTGTTTGCCAACAGTGGCCAATATCAGGTGCCCCAGAGAGGGGAAACACAACAGGTAATCCTCACACAATCCATCCCCTGTCACCCACCTCCAGAGAAACAGAGGCTAGAGACGCCATTCCCATCTATCCTGGCTAATAGCCATCGATGGACCTAACCTCCATGAATCTATCTAGATCTTTTTTGAATCCTGTTAAAGTCTTCACTGCATCCTCTGGCAAGGAGTTCCACAGGTTGACTGTGCGCTGAGTGAAGAAAAACTTCCTTTTGTTTGTTTTAAACCTGCTGTCTATTAATTTCATTTGGTGACCCCTAGTTTTCCTTATTCACTTTTTCCACACCAGTCATGATTTTATAGACCTCTATTATATCCCCCCTTAGTCTCCTCTTCTAAACTGAAAGTTCAAGTCTTTTTAATCTCTCTTCATATGGGACCCATTCCAAACCCCTAATCATTTTTGTTGCCCTTTTCTGAACCTTTTCCAAAGCCAATATATCTTTTTTGAGATGAAGTGACCACATCTGTACACAGTATTCAAGATGTGGGCGTACCATGGTTTTATAATAGAGACATTAATATATATTCTGTCTTATTCTCTATGGCTTTTTTAATGATTCCTTACATTGTGTTTGCTTTTTTGACTGCTGCTGCATACTGAGTGGATGTTTTCAGAGAACTATCCACAATGACTCCAAGATCTCTTTCCTGATTAGATGTAGCTAAATTAGCCCCCCATCATATTATATGCATAGTTGGGGTTATTTTTTCCAATGTGCATTACTTTACATTTATCCCCATTAAATTTCATTTGCCATTTTGTTGCCCAGTCACTTAGTTTGGTGAGATCTTTATGAAGTTCTTCACAGTGTGCTTTGGTCTTAACTATCTTGAGAAGTTTGGTATCATCTGTAAATTTTGTCACCTCACTGCTTACCCCTTTCTCTAGATCATTTATAACTAAGTTGAATAGGTTTGACCCCAGGACAGATCCTAGGGGGACCCCATTAGTTACTTCTCTCCATTTGGAAAACTGACCATTTATTCCTACCCTTTGTTTCCGGTCTTTTAATCAGATCTAAATCCATAGAAGGAACTTCCCTCTTATCCCATGACAACATACTTTACTTAAGAGCCTTTGGTGAGGGACTTTGTCAAAGGCTTTCTGGAAATCTAAGTATACTGTATCTAGTGGATTCCCCTTGTACACATAGTTAACTCCCTCAAAGAACTCGAGCAGATTAGAAAAGCATGATTTCCCTTTACAGAAACCATGTTGACTTTCCCCCAACAAATTCTGTTCATCAACGTGTCTGCCAATTTTATTCTTTACTATAGTTTCTAACTTAGTACCGGGCAAATTAGTTGACTTACCAATCTGTAATTGCCAGGATCACCTCTAGAACCCTTTTTTAATATTGGTGTCACGTTAGCTATATTCCAGTCATTATGTATGGAAGCTGATTTAAAGGATAGGTTACAAGCCAAAGGTAACAGTTCTCCAGTTTCCCATTTGAGTTCTTTCAGAACTCTTAGATGAATGACATCTGTTCCCGGTAACTTGTTACTGTTAAGTTTATCAGTTTGTTCCAAAACCTTCTCCAGATTACCATGCGTGATAACCAGGCCATGCTTCTCTGAATCAGAGAGCAAGATAGGAAGTAGATGCTGAATGAATGTGGCCAGAAACATGGATCTTATGATGCTTGCTTTGTACTGCAATGATGCCAGATCACTTACTGGTAGCTTAATGGATGGAATAAGGCAGCCCTCCCCAGATACCATCTGAGGAGGGCTGAAGAGTACCCCAATGAGTGCTTTGTAGAGATGTACAAGGAGGGTTCTTGCTCCATTACCAGACACATTAAACTTTTCTGGGGACCTCCCACTGAGAAGGCCAACTAACCACCACCATATCCCAATTACTTTGGGCAGATCAAACCCAATTACATTTAACCACTGTAGCGTGATTACAAGAGTGAACTCACCTTAAGTGCCCTCCCTGCCAACAGAGTCCGGCAACAATAGGGTCTAGAAGGAGACTCGTTCCAAAGATTGGAAAAGGTCCTGCTGTTGGTGATGTCAGATTCTTGGTGTGCCTGTGGAGCATTCTCCTCCTCATCATCATCTACAAATGTCCTCCTTGTTGTTGCCCAAGACTGCCTGAAGAGTAGCTTTGGAGGTATCCACGGACAGTTTTTGACAGTGATTAGGTCCCTCTCTAGAATCCCATGCAGCTGTTCATAGAAGCAGCATATCTGAAGCTCTAATCTGGACCAGCCATTTGTGTCCTTTGTCTTTTGGTACATTTACCAGAGCTCCTTATTTTCATGTGGACACTGCTGGGTGTCCATACTGTATCCTTTTTCCACCATCCCCTGTGCAAATTTTGGCACAGATCTTAGTGCTTCTTCCACTGCTTTGGAGTTCTTCTCCCCTTACAGAAATCAGATCCAGTATCTCCTGCACACTCCATGCTGGAGATCATTGATGACCCCAGTCATTCATATTCAGATATGCTGCTGGGCTGGCGACATAGGAAATGAAATTCAAAAGTTCCTAGGGCCCCTCCTGTGTACCTGAGAATGCACCATAATTGAAAATGCTGGCCAAAGAAGTCACATTGGGAAACCTCCCAAAGTCCAAGAACACAGACATCAACAGTGCTATGTCTGCACAACCTCAAAGCTGACCCCCCCTCCCCCGAAGGTCAAATTTAGTACTAATACACCTGTTGACCTTAAAAGCCTTTAAGATTCACAGAAGAGGATTGGTGGTGTATACTCATTCATTATAAAATCAACCAGGCCTCATTCTGTTATGCAGCCATGCAGTCAAGTTCATATTGGTTTAAATTTAAAAGCAGATACAGTTTATCCTCTCCTGCCATTTGTCCTCCAATTTACTTGTATTACAAACAAAGAAACTAAAATTAACTTTAAGTTTAAAAAACATTGGTTAGTAGTTTCTTCTCACTAGGCTGAAACTTATTTTTCTTTCCTCAGACACTGTGGTCACAAAAGAGACCACCTTAAATTTAAATGACTGCACTCTAAATATGGAACTCTAGTCAAAGAAAAAGATGTCCAAATGATCTTATCCAATGAAACAGCATGGAAATGCACACACAATTAAGAAGGATTGAGAATATGAATATTTAAAAAGACTGAGGTAAATAGTGCAATTAAAAATGTAATGCATAAGAGTTTCTGAATAAAGTCTGTGTGTGCACATCTATGGAGATTAATTTCACTAATCCCATATGCAAGATTTCAGATACCACAAAATACTGCATTTAAATTACCTCTCTGATAAGTAAGGTGACTTATAAATTTATAAAAGTAATAAAGCTTTAAGACATCAGATAGATTACCTTGTATTCAAATATTAAGGTGATCACACAGAGAAATTAACACAAGAACTTTAACTTAATTATTTATTCATAATATAGAAAAGAAATAGAAGTCTCCACATTCTTACTATCAATTCAGGAAAAAATAGTTGCTTTCCTATAATTAACTGCACATTTATTCCGTTTCCTAGTTAGATAATTTTTCTTCTGTGTGGTGTAGGCCACAGTATTCCTGAATCCCTGCAAAGAGGCAGAAACAAGGTAGCAGTGAACTTATATGTATTACTAGCACATTTACCCGCATTGCTCAGGTTCTTAAGGAGGGGCTCAGGGCAGAGAGCTGGGAGCGTGAAAGGCAGAGGAGTCAGGGTTGGTGGATGAGAGCGGGGCTCTGGGCTGGTGTGCGCGCATGCATGTGGATGGGAAATTGGGAGGGCCAAAGACTCCCCTCACCCTCCTGAGAGCTGTATCAGGGCTGCTGGCTTTTCCCCTTCCTGTCCCTGTCAGGGAGCAAGGGCAAAGTGCACAGATTGTCAGGGAGCAAGGGGAAAATGCAGTTTGCTGCATTCTTCACTCTGGCTGAGGAGCACAGGAAGAGAAACAAAGGGGGAACAGCCAGCCATGTCCCTGTACGAATCTGGGCAGTGGGAGCCTACAGAGCACCTGGAGGATTGAAGGCTCAGGGCTGGGGCAGTCACAGGCAAGGGGGGAGGGGGGGGGGGGGGGGGGAGAGAAGACACACCCTTAGCAAACCACTTTCACCTGCCTGGTGATTCTGTCTGTCTCTCTTCTGTATGGTTTTATAAGAAAATCCGATTCAAGGCATATCCCACTTTCCCAACACAACCAAACCCTTACACTGCTTTAAGTTATAAGAAGCTGTATACCGAATTTGGTGCCCTTGCTCTTACTGTTTTAGGAGTTCTTGAACAGAGTCAGTCAGTCAGTCAGTCAGTCTCTCTCTCTCTCTCTCTCTCTCTCTCTCTCTCTCTCTCTCTCTCTCTCTCTCTCTCTCTCTCTCTCTCTCTCTCTCTCTCTCTCTCTCTCTCTCTCTCTCTCTCTCTCTCTCTCTCTCTCTCTCTCTCTCTCTCTCTCTCTCTCTCTCTCTCTCTCTCTCTCTCTCTCTCTCTCTCTCTCTCTCTCTCTCTCTCTCTCTCTCTCTCTCTCTCTCTCTCTCTCTCTCTCTCTCTCTCTCTCTCTCTCTCTCTCTCTCTCTCTCTCTCTCTCTCTCTCTCTCTCTCTCTCTCTCTCTCTCTCTCTCTCTCTCTGTGTGTGTGTGTGTGTGTGACTGCTTGGAGAATAAATCACAACATTTTGTCTATTACCTTGACTTACATTTGAAATGGTAAAAGAATTTCTCAACATGACTTTTAGACCTACTTTTCTTCTGCAATTTGAATACTTTCTGTATTTTGTACAATTGCTCTTCCAGAAATGTAAGTGGGACATTTATAAGTTCACTCACTGGGGGGAGAGGGGGAAGGGAGGCGGGCAGTGGAAGCAGAGGTGCCATGAGAAAATGGCGCGAGCAGGGACTGAAGTGGTCCACTCCACAGGGCTCTTGGTACATTTTAAAGGGAAAGGCGGAATCCAAGATGAATGGGGACTATTTGAGGGACAGCAGGGATAATGAGCGCCTTACCGCACCCCATAACTAATTGAGTAGTCGATGAGAGGGGGAAGGGAGGCGGGCAGTGGAAGCAGAGGTGCCATGAGAAAATGGCGCGAGCAGGGACTGAAGTGGTCCACTCCACAGGGCTCTTGGTACATTTTAAAGGGAAAGGCGGAATCCAAGATGAATGGGGACTATTTGAGGGACAGCAGGGATAATGAGCGCCTTACCGCACCCCATAACTAATTGAGTAGTCGATGGAAATTCCATCGACTATTTGATTAGTTGATTAATCGAAATTTAACATCCCTACTGGTAAGCTATAAAAATTCTTAAGAAAGGCCGATTTGTAGAAAGTTTTGATAAACTGTTTTATGATATATTTGCTGGAACTCAATGAAGGTCAAAAAACCTATAAATGACACACTTATTTTTAATTGGGAATTAAGTAGCTATCATTTTGACAGAATTTAATAGTTTAAAATATAAGTGACTGAAGTAATTCTCTGAGACAAGAGAACAAATGGTGAATTTCATGATCTTATACTGCATATTTGTCAAAAATCAAGCTTTTGACACCATAACAGAACTGCTCATTCAAGTCATTCACGCATCAGCCTTCTAACATGACAAACTTACTTTGGATGATATGCCTATAAGATAAAGTAGCTGGAGACTCAGGTATTTCAGAAAAAAAAGATTGGCCTTGGTCACAACTTTTCCCTAAAAGAAAAAAAAAAAGGGGGAGGGAGTAATCCTAAAACAACGCCCCAAATTATTTCCCCAAATTACTGTACGGTAGCTCCTCACTTAAAGTCATTCCTGTTAACATTGTATCATTGCTGTCCTATTCGAAAATATGCTTAAAGTCATGCAATGTTCTGTTATAATGGTCTCCGCATCTCCTCTCTCTCTCTAGCACCTGACTGCCACAATCAGATATTTCAGTGCATGCCAGGAGGCTGGGAGGGAGGGAGCAGGAGCAAGAACACTGTGCACTCAGGGGAGGTGGCAGAACTGGAAAAAAGTGAGCTGAGGTGGAGCAGAACAGGGGCAGGGAGAAGCATGGCAGGGCATTGGGGTAAGCAGTGGAGTGGGGGCAGGGTTTGTGGAGGAGTTGGGGATTGAGCCAATTTGAAAAACATGTGCCTGCAGATTATGTGCTCTGCAAAGCTTACAAATGCTGTCATGACCAACAGCAGCCTGCTCCAGCGGAGTGGCTGCCTCCAAGCTGCTTTCTCCTCTTGCGATATCGCTGTGTGTCATGGCTGCTACTGCTCGCTCCACCTCCTTCTCATGGGATTAGCTGCCCCTCCTACGGCTGTCTCCATTTGTGCAACAAATATGGAGAACGCCTCCTTCAGTGTTGTGTCCAAATGTAACATGTAACCTGGTTCCTTTAGGAGACAACCTGTCTCCAAAACCCCGGGGAGTGGTGGCATGTTCAGTGAATAACTGGAGCAGGCATATGTATGATCTCCTGATCAGAAGCCAGCAGAGACATCTCCATCAGCTGCTGAGGAAGGAAGAAGCAGTGTCCTTTCCTATGTGCTGCTGCTTGCCTGCTCTGCCTGGCCCTTGTGTCTAAACCTAACCTACAAAGCTTATACAGAAAGAACTCTGCAGGCCTAGGAATAGGGGTGGCATTGTTCCACAACCTCAGCAGAGCTCTGGGGCCAGAGGATAGTCACTTATCTAGTCACAGCTGTGAGTCAAACTGCAAGTAATGTTTTTTTGTCTGGCAAAGTTTGCCTAGAACCTAACCACCACTTTTTACATTAATTCTTATGGGGAAACTGGATTCACTTAACACCGTTTTGCTTAAAGTTGCACTTTTCAGGAACATAACAATATTGAGGAGTTACTGTACTAATCCAGTGAAACAAAAGATTTACATTCTTCCTGCGCAGTGAAACAAATGAAGCATGGTAGCTATTTTCTTATAGATGGCTATTAGAAGTAACAGACTGAAGTCCTAGATTTAGAAATCTATGCAGTCGCTCTGTCTATACCTTCTTTCCACCTACCTGGGATGCTCTTCCTTTACTCCACAAAACAGCACCACCAATCTGGTCTTTCTTTGGACTCGATTCAGTGTAGTTTGGTGTATGTTGTGTATTAGTAACTTGGCTGATCACATACCAACTATTATTTTTTAATATATCTAATTACCCAATGAAAAATTCCAACTAAATTCTGAATAGCAGTTTTTCAGTTATAGAAGCTCTAGTTTTAACTGTATTAAACTGTATTCTTCCTTATGGTATGTTTTCATCCAGTCTGCAATTATAAATGAGCAATTTTTCAAAATATTTTACCTTTATTAACATGACTTATTTCAAGTGTGCAGGACTGGATGATTACTATTTAAACCTAAACAATTCATCGTTTTACCCGTTTAACATGCCCAAGGCATGTTATATCAGTTCCATAGTTACAGGATTTTAATTCTACAAAGGTTACCTATTGGACCCTATGTTGTGTGTTTGTCACAGTGAGCAACTAACACTTAGCAGATACACCAAAAATAATCCCAAGTAATGGCAGGTACATTGTTGTTTTTTATTATGTAATTTGCCAGGATTACCTATTCGAGGATCTAGTGGCACTTTACCCAGTAGAGAAATATTTAAATTTTGGCACATCTTCTCTGCTCCTCCAGTTGTTGGAGGAAAGATCTGAGTTTCAATCTGTAATATAAAAAGATAATAATAAATACATGACAAGTAACAGAAGACAACTTCAGAGAAGATCATTTTGAGCAAAACTGAAGGGAGGATACAGTAGTTCTTGAATGCACAGTACTTTGGAATTGTATTACATTTCAAAGGCTGCAGCATCCCACATCAGCTGTTCAGAGATGCCAGCCAGTGGCTCCTTTTAACAGGAGAATTTAAGACATTAAATTGTTAAACACAGATGTGTAACCGAAGCCTGCACTTTAGAACTGCCATATTTATATGATGTCCTGGCTCCTAAAACAGACAAAACTAATCCTTGGCTTCAGGGAAGCACCCTTCATGCCTATCCTTAGACAACAGTACCTGTTATAAAAGCGCTTGATGCTGTTTCCACCAACAGAAACAGATTCCCCACCCCGTACTGTTAAAAAAATGGTTTTTGAAATAAACAGCTTTATCAAGCAGATCAAACAAGTTTCTGCCATGATAAGTAAATCCTTTACCACCTAACATACATACATTTGGAATGTGTATATTAACACAAGAGTGAAAAATATTAGCAATAAGATTTAGATAGTCTTACCTTACATTTTGGGCATACAAAACCACTCATATTTTCAACAACACCTATGATGGGCAATTTCACCTTATGACAGAAGCTGATCTCTTTTCGAACATCCTGAAGT